GGTGGCCGGGGGGGTGGTGGGGGGTGCGGGTGGGGGGGGGGGGACCCGGGGCGGTGGGTGTGAGTCCCCATTGAGGGGGGAGGTGAAACCCCGGGCAGTGGATGTGAGATCCCATTTGGTGGGGTGGTGGGTCTGTGATCCTGGGCAGTGGATGTGAGATCCCATGGTGGGGAGGTGCGGTCTGTGACCCCGGGCGGTGGGTGCAAGATCCCATTGAGTTGGGGGGGGTGGTGTCTGTGACCCCGGGCGGTGGGGTGGGTGTGAGCACATTAAGATTGCTTTCCCACTGCAGGTCTGCTGATATTGCGCTGCTCGCTGGGGGAAGCAGGAAGCGGTGGATCATTGCAACAGAAAACATGGAGCCCGGTGACGTTGTCAAAACATCGGGGCAGATTGGCCGGATGGCAGGTAAGGTTCCGCAGGGACTTCTCTGTTTAATCAAAACCCTCTGACAGCCTGTAGGGCAGGGGGAGGGAGAGGGTGTGTGAGGGTGACTGTCCCATCTTCCACAATAACACTTGGATCCTTGTCTGACAGGAATCGATTCACTGTCGTGGCCCAGGATTGAGTGAGGGTGAGGGCGGGGAGTGATGGTATGGGAGGGAGTGCTCCTGGTTCTGGTCCATAGTCGGACACATGGATCTGCTGCTGACTAACACTCTCACTTTCCCAATTTCTTTCCCAGTGTCTGCCAATGAGGGAGATGCCTATCCACTCGGAGCACTTCCTGTGGGAACACTGCTGAATAGTTTGGAGTTGTATCCAGGGAAAGGAGCCCTGTACATCCGAGCTGCAGGTCAGTGACACCCCCTCCGCACCCGCCCCCACCCCCCGCTTCTCTGTATCCGAGCTGCAGGTCAGTGACTCCCACTCTGTATCCGAGCTGCAGGTCAGTGACTCCCACTCTGTATCCGAGCTGCAACTCAGTGAGCCCCACTCTGTATCCGAGCTGCAACTCAGTGAGCCCCCTCTATATTTGAGCTGCAGATAGACAAAGTAAAAGGTTTAAAATTCATATACTGTGTGCAGGAGAGCTCTTACAGCCAACACGTAGAAAATCCAACGAGAGAGGGGGTTGTGCTGGACATGGTTTCAAGAAAGGAATCTGAGCAAACGACAGGCATGACAATTGGGGAGCATTTCCGTAACAGTGACCATAATGCAGTGAGTTTTAAGGTAATCATAGAGAAGAACAAAGATGAACCAGAAATACAGGTTCTGAATAGTTGGAAGGATGGTTTGAATTTGATAACAGACGATCCAGCCAGAGTGGACTCAGAGCAGCTCCTTGCAGGGAAATGCACATCAGAGCAGCGGGAGATATTTGAAAGGGTAATTGTGAGGGTGCAGGGCCAACATGTTCCTGCAAAAGTGAAGGGTGGGACCAACCAGTCCAGAGAACTCGGAGTGTCAGAGGACGTTCAGGATCGGATACTGAGAGATAAAGTATCGTAAATGCCAAACTTTCCAAATAGCAGGTGTTCCAGAGGACTCTGGGAAATACCAAGGTTTCTTAAGACACTCGCAGAGTGAAGAGGGGGCATAGAAACCAACCCCAGCAGGTGAGATTAAAATCCAAAGGGATTTTATAGGTATATTAGGGGCAGTGGGGGGGAATGGGGAGGGGCCATTGGGACCAAAGTGGCATTCTGTGTTTGGAGCCAAAGACAGAGCTGAGGTTATAAATGAGTACTTTGTAAATGCATTTGCTGTAGACAAAGTTCTAGACAAGTTTTAGGAATCAGGGATGGGGGGGAATTCACATTGAGAGAGAAGGGACTGGCAGTTTAACAGGAGTGGAAGTGGACAAACCCTCAGGCCACAGGAGATGTAGCCTAGGCCTCTGTGGGAGGTATAGGAAGGAAACTGCAGGGACTCTGACAGAAATTTCAAATCCTATCTGGCCACAGAACGGGTGCCAGAGGATTGGAGGACGTCTCCTGTGGAATCATTATTCCAGAAGGATAATGAGGGTAACCAGGCAACTACAGGCCATAGCGTCTAATATCAATGGCAGGGAAACTATTGGGAACAAATCTGAAGGACAAAATTAATCTTCACATTGGAGAGGCAGGGATTAATCAAGGATAGTTAGCAAGGCTTTGTAAGGGAGAGATCATCTCTAACAAATTCTAAGCTTTTGAGGAAGTGACTAGGTGTGTAGATGAAAGTTGTGCAGTGGATGTAGTTTACATGGATTTCAGTAAGACATCTCACCAGATCTCCAAAGAGAGACTGGTTAAGAAGCGAAGGGTCCATGGGGTCCAGGGCAATTTGGCAAATTGCATCCAAAATTGGCTTTGTGGCAGGAAGCAGAGAGTGATGGTGGAAGCCAGTGTCCAATAGTGTACCATAAGGTTCAGTGCTGGGTCCTTTCCTGTTTGTTGTCCACGTTAACAATCTAGACACGAATGTAGGAGATGACGTGAAAATGGGTAGTGCGCTAAATAGCGAGAAGGGTAGCCTTAGACTACAGGATGATGTAGATGGGCTGAACAGTGGCAAGTGGCTTTTAATCCTGAAAAGTGTCAGATGATTCATTGGGAAAGATGCAAGGCAAGAGAGTACACAGTGAATGGAGGGCCCGAGCAAGCAAGTTTAGAGATAGGAGATAGAGGGTGGTGGTAGAAGGCTGTTTGTGTGACTGGAGCCCCGTATGCATGGTGTCCTACAGGGATCAGTGCTGGGTCGATGGGAGTGTGCTTGTGGGATTTGGCGGGAATGGGGGGCTGCAGTGTGAATAAGTCAGTTTGCAGATGAAACAGAGATTGACTGTGAGGGAGAGGTTACTGCCCTCAGTGAAAGAGCTGCTGATCAGAGAGCCATGTCCCTTATTGCAGCCTGTGACATTATGGATTTTCACAGAGTAGCTTCTCTCTCTCCCTCTCCCCCCCGACCTTTCTCTGTCTACCTCCCCCCCCCCCACAACAAGCTCTCCACACCCCTCCTACCTCATTCTCTCTCTGTGTCACTCCATGTCTCATTCTCACTCACTCCATGTCCGTCTCTCCCTCTAACACCTAAATACATTAAAGGGAAGAGGTTAACCAGGGAAAGAGTAGAGCTCACTAGGGACCAAAGGGGCAACTTGTGTGTGAAGCCGCTCTGGAAAAGGAGAATGTAGGTATGGAACCTGGGAAAAGGGACTGTGAGGAACTTGCACAGTTTGATGTAGGAAATGGGGAGGGGTTGGAGGCTCTGTCAGGCTTAAAAACAGACAAATCCCCTGGTCTGGATGAATTGCATCCCAGGCTGCTGTGGGAGGTGAGGCAGGAAATTGCAAGGGCTCTGACACACATTGTTAATTTCTCTCTGGCCACAGGGGAAGTGCCAGAGGACTGGAGGATGGGTAATGTGGTTCCACCTTTTTAAGAGGAATGGTAGAGATGAACCAGGAAATTACAGACTGGGTGGGTCTCATGTCAGTGGTAGGGAAACTATTGGCAAAAAATCTGAAGGAGCAAATTAATACCCACTTGGAAAGGCATGGGTTAATTAGGGATAGCGAGTACGGCTTTGTCAGAGGGAGGTCATGCCTAACAAATTTGTTAGAATTTTTTTGAAAATGTGATCAAGTCCATGATTGAGGAAAGTTCAGTTGTTGTCATTTATATGGATTTTAACAAAGCTTTTGACAAGGTCCCACATGGGAGACTGACTGAGATGGTTAAAGTGCGTGGAATTGTGGAAAATGTAGTGAGATGGATCAGGAACTGGGTCTGGACTGGACACAGGATAATGGGAGAAGGCTGTTTGAGGGATTGTAGGCTGGTGTCCCGCGGTGTACCACAGGCAACAGTACTGGGGCCCTTATTGTTATATATGTAAACGATATCGATGAAAGTGTGGAGGGAAATAAAACAAATTTGCAGACAACATCAAGGTTGATAGAGTGGTTAATGGTGATGATGGTTGTAGGTTAGAGGAAGATATGGATGGGTTGGTCAGATGGTAAGTGTGAGGTGATGCACTTTGGAAGAAGAAACAAGATGGGGACGTAATTAACGAATGGCAGGACACTGGGCAGCTTGGAGGCTCAGAGGGGTAATTATTCACTGATCCCTGAAGTTGTTAGAGCACGTGAACAGGATAGTTAAGGGGGTATATGGGACACTTACTTTCATTAATCACGCCATAGAGGATAAGAGCGAGGAGATAATGTTGCAGTTGTACAGGGTGTTGCTCAGGCTGCAGCTGGGGTTTTCTGAATTTCTGGTCAACCTCACTGCAGGAAGCCTGTGATAGCACTGAGGGGGTACAGAGGAGGTTCACCAGGATGTTGCCTGGGATTGAGAAATTAAGCGATAAAGAGAGACTGGATTGGCTTGGATTATTTTCTTTAGAGCAGAGCAGACATGATTGTGGTGTATAAGATGATGAAGGGTATGGACAGGGTGAATACAGAGCAGCTGTTCCCCTTGGTTTCGGGGTCAGTCACAAGAGGGTATAGTGTTAGGGTAAGGGGCAAGAGATTCAGATGGGATTTGGGAAAAAATTCTTCACTCAGCAGGTGGTGGGAATCTGGAATGCACTGCCTGGGAAGGTAGTAGAGGCTGGAAACTTTACAACCTTTAAAACATATTTGGATGAGCACTTGAAATATCATATCTTTCAAGGATATGGGACAAGTGCAGGGAATTGGGGTCAGTGCACTTTTAATGGTGTAGACATGTATGAATCTATGAAATGCTCCCTCTCACTCTATCCGTGCCTTGCTCCTTCTCCTGTTTTCCAGCAATCCCTGCCACCTTCACTGTCTCTCGCACCCCTGCTCTCTGACTCTCTCTCGCCTTCACTCTCTGATACTCTCTCTCTCTCCCACGCCCCTTCTGTCTGATCCTCTCTCTCTCCCTCTCACACCCCGATCTCTGATTCTCTCTCTCCCTCTCTTGCCCTCACTCTCTGACCCTCACTCTCTGACCCTCTCTCTCTCCCCCTCACACCCCTGATCTCTGACTCTTTCTCTCCCTCACTCTGTGACACTGACTCTCTCTCTTGCCCTCACTCTTTGACACTAACTGTGTGTGTCTATCTCTCGCCCTCACTGTCTGACGCTGACTCTCTCTCTCATGCCCTCACTCTCTGACACTCTCTCATTGACTCTCTGACACTGACTCTCTCTCTCGTCCTCACTTTCTGACACTGACTGACTCTCTCTCTCTCTCTCTCTCTCGCCTTCACTCTCTGACACTGACTCTCTTTCTCTCGCCCTCACTTTCTGACACTGACTCTCTCTCTCTCTTGCCCTCACTTTCTGACACTGACTCTCTCTCTCTCTTGCCCTCACTCTCTGACTCTCTCTCTCTCGTGCCCTCACTCTCTGACTCTCTCTCACTCACTCTCTGACACACTGTATCTCTCACTCATTCTCTGACACCATCTCTCGCTCTCCCTCGCTCCCTAACACAGTCCTCTCTCTCTCCCTCCCACCTCAGGTTCTCGAGACGTGTGTAGCGACTGTTGGCCGTGTGTCTAATGTTGACCATAACAAGCAAGTGATTGGTAAAGCTGGTCGCAATCGCTGGCTGGGTATCCGGCCCTCGAGTGGCCTGTGGCAGAGGAAGGGTGGCTGGGCTGGTCGGAAGATTCGGCCACTACCACCCATGAAGAGTTATGTAAACCTGCCATCGCGAGGGACTCTGAGCTGAATGGTTAATCAAGGGCAGATCCTGTACATTAAAGATCTTACTCAGACTGCACTGCTTCCACAACCATATTCTTCCTTTTGGAGTTTTTTTTATTCACTCATGGGACATGTGTGTTGCTGGCTGGGTCAGCATTTATTGCCCCATCATTAGTTGCTCTTGAGAAGGTGGGGCTGAGCTGCCTTCTTGTACCACTACAGTCCATGTGCTGTGGGTTGACCCACAATGCCATTAGGGAGGGAATTCTGGGATTTTGACCCAGCGACAGTGAAGGAACGGCGATATATTTCCAAGTCAGGATGGTGAGTGGCTTGGAGGGGAACTTGGAGGGGGTGGTGTATCTGCTGCCCTTGGGAAGGTGCTGTCTAAGGTGATGTGGTGAGCTGTTATCCCTGTGATAATCCAGCCCCATTCCCCATCAGCCGCACCTTTATCAGTGTTTTGATTTAATTGGCAAATTGGTTCCCTTTGGTGCTGCCATACAGAATAAAAAAGACTCATTCAAAAGACGCAGTTTATTAATAACATAAATCATCTTAAAACAAGTGGCAAAACTGATGAATGTTTGAGCTGGAATCCAGAATGAGAACTATATCCCCTTTCAATTTCAAAACCGACACATTACCTAAGAGAACAAAAATTCTGTAGAGATGATATTTTGAAAAGGGAAAATTAAAATACCCTATTGGCTAATGATCTAACATCCAAGAATCAAATTGGATCCACACTCCCGCTGCGCTGGGTTTCTCATTGACGATCCTGAATTGCTGGAGACCCGTGGGTGAACAAGGTTCCGTTTTGGATAGAAATCCAGCTCGATACATCACTGTTCAGTTTCCCCGTGATTAAAATGTAGTCAGCAATCCTGAGGTAGAGAAACTGCAGCAAGTTCCATGTACTTCACAGAACAGAGTGAGAAACAGACATCCCTACGTTTGTGAAACATAATATGGTTTATAGAAATGATTTAGACTTGTATGTCAGTAAGTTCAGATGATACAAAAATTGGCCGGGTGGTAAATAGTGAGGAGGATCCCGTTAGATTACAGGAGAATATAGACAGGCTGGACAGATGGGCTGATCAGTGACACATAGAATTCTGTCTAGCTAAAGGTGAGGTGATGCACCAGGGAAGGACAAACAAGGCCTGGGAATAAGTGGTGAGCAGTAGGACCCTGGGAATCCCCAAGGATCAGAGGGACCTCGGTGTGTATGGAGACCGGTCTCTTTAGGTAGTGGGACGGGTGGATAAAGTGGTTTAGAAGGCGGATGGGACACTTGTCTTTACGAGCTGAGGCATAGAGTTTAAGAGCAGGGAGGTTATACTGAATCTGTATAAAACATTGGTTAGGTCACAGTGAGAGTATTGTGTGCAGTTCTGGAATCCACATTATAGGAGGGATGTGATAGCACCAGAGAGGGTACAGGGGGAGATTTACCAGGATGTTGCTTGGGTCGGAGAGTTTCAGTTATGGAGAGAGATTGGATAGACTGGGGGTGTTTTCCTTAGAGCAGAGGAGACTGGAGGAGGGGACATTGAGATGTTTAAAACTGAGGGGCATAGACAGGAAGGAACTTTTCTCTTTGGTGGAGGGATCAATGACCAGGGGACAGAGATTTAAAGTAAGGAGCAGGAGGTTTAGAGGAAATCTGAGGAAAGACTTTTTCTCCCAGAGGGTGGTGGGAATCTGAAACTCCCTGCCTGTAAGGGTGGGAGATGCAGAAACCTTCGTCATATTGAAGGAGGATTTAGATGTCCACTTGCAATGCCAAAGCAGACAAGGCTACAGGCCAGGTGTTTGAAAATGAGATTAAACTAGGCAGGTGGTTATTATGACCTGCTCAGCCTTGATGGGCTGAAGGGCCTCTTTCAGCACTGTAGAGCTCTACAACTCTCACTATTCCCAGAGTTGTCATAAATATGAAAATGCAACTGAACTAGCCTAATTGTTCAATTCAGCCTAAAAGAATCTGCACATCAGGTTTCTTCATGAGCAAGCAAAGGACCTGTATTCAAGCTGCTTTAACCAGTGGTAAGAGGAAACATAGATACACAGACAAACAGGGACACAGAGAGACAAGACACAGTGGATGGGGAATGAACATAAACATCAGTGAAGCACAGTCCTGTTACCAGCCTGGATTGCAGGTGTCAGTGAGATAGTTTGCTTCTGTTCCTTTCACGTTGACAAAGACACAATCTTGTGGATCCAGTGGGTCTCAATCTTTCATTCACTTCGTGAGGATTTGCCTTCTGTGTCTCTGGAGCTGATTTTTTTCACCTTTGCCTTTCAACAAGAGAATTTGCAGAGAGAGAGCAATTTACAGGGAAATGATGAGTGGCAGTAGCTACTAGGAGATTTTCTGTTACTTCACCCAGGAGGAGGAGGAGGGAGGGGGGAGAGGGTGCGGGGAGAGTGAGATGTTTTCTCCTTCACAGGCTGGAGGTTTCTGCTGGATTGTCCAAACGCAAAGCTAGACACTTGCCCAAGAACTAATCAAGAGGTGGTTCTGAGGAAGGGACACTCAACCTGAAACATTAACTCTTGATTTCACTCCACAGATGCAGCCAGATCTGTAGGGCTTTTCCAAAAATTTCTGTTTTTGTCACTAATCAATATGTTCTTACTCTGCTGAGTAACCTTGAACATACACAACTAGTCCCGGCTGAAAAATAATGTCTCTGGGTAGTCCAGATATTGGGGATATTGGGAGTGGGACATTGAATTCCACTGGCAGGGCATGTAGGAAAACAGAAAACACAGACAGGGGTTTTACACAGACCGAGCCTTCAGAGAGACGTTGTATCGCTCGGTAAACCATATCACACGTGTCAGGTGGGAGGAAAACCTCAGCTTTTCATCAGAACAGCAGCTTTGATCCCTGCAGCAGTTTGTGAAAACCATTTGGCCGAGCATGGAGGAATATTTAAAAATCTCACTGGCAAAAATGAAAGACTGAGCAGATAAGCATTCAGCAACGAGTATGCTGGAAGTGAGAGATGAAGTAATGGTATCGCTGCCTTTACAGGGTGACTGATAGTGAGATTCAGTGGGGACCATATAAAGGAGGGTGGAGAATTAGTAAAGTGACTGCCTGAGAAATACTCCCGATTGTGGGAAGCGGAATCGGTTCTATCACATAAACATGCTGGAAAGGTATCATTGTAGGAAAGAGGAGGAGGAGGAACAAGTCTGTCAGCTGCTATGAGAAGGTAGAAACAATAAGAGTGAGGTGGAAGGACAGATAATTCTCAGTGTGAACCTCCTACAATTTGACTGACTAACAGAGAGATTGGGACACTGTGTTCTCACAAGGACTATGGGAGGATCTGGTAAGAATATTTAGGGCATTTAAGGAAAGTTATAGATACAGCTGGATGTACAACATTCACTAGAAAGATATGGATATAGGAGAGTCAGAGCTGAGAAAGCAGCATCCTTATTGGTTGTACTCAGAGAAAGAACTTGAGGGGAACCAAATGTAAGATGAGATTTGAACATGTGGCAACCTAAAAATCATGAAGCAGAGGTTATTTATGAAGAAATCACTGGACCCAAAACATTAACTGTGTTTTCTCTCCACTGAATTTTTCCAGCAATTTCAGTTTTTGTTTCTGTTTGCCAGCTTCTGCCGTTCTTTTTTATTATTCTACTGGCACCAGGTCTTTCCAAACAAGAAGGGAAATTATGGATCAACATGACAAAACACCATGTAGATGTGTGGGTTACGTTAGGCTGAGGAACTCCTGTCTACTCCCTCACCATCACCATGTGTTGCCGGAGGTCCTATTGCACACTTCCCCACTTGAGCCTTGCCATCCCAGCACTGACACACAACACACACTGAGCATGTGCTCTGTGTGTCCACATTAATGGTAGCAGGTTCTCTGTCAGGCTCAATATGGGCCAATGCTAAGGTTTGCTGCGATATCCAGCGTTTCCTCAAGAAGACTTTCTCAGCCTGTATCTGTATCTGTATTGGTACCTTCCGAGGGTCCAGTATCTGTAATGGATCACCCACACAGTTGCCCTTGAGAAGGTGGGGTTGAGCTGCCTTCTTGAACCACTGCAGTCCATGTGCTGTAGGTAGACTCACAATGCTGTTAGGGAGGGAATTCCAGGAATTTGACCCAGCGATAGTGAAGGAATCTAAGGATTCCTGGAAGATTACTACCAGTACATCCATAAAATCATAGAAACATACAGCACAGAAACAGACCCTTTCGTCCAACCGATCTGAACCCCTAGGTCTCTATGTTCTACAACACTACCCAGGGCCCTACTATTAATTCTATAAGCCCGGCCCTTGTTTGTTTTGCCAAAATGCAATGCCTCACATATATCCAGATTAAACTCTATCTGCCTCTCCTCAGCCCATTGACCCAATTGATCAAAATTGCTCTGTAATCTTAGATAACCCTCTTCACTGTCAACTATACCATCAATTTTGATGTCATCTGCAAACTTCCCAACCATACCTCCTATATTCTCATACAAATAATTTATATAAATGATAAACAAAAGTGGACCCTGTGGAACAGACCTACAGTCTGAAAAACAACCCACCACCACCATCTTCTGTCTCATACTGTAAAACTAATTTTGTACCTAATTAACAAGCTCACCCTGAATCCAATGTGATCTAACTTTACTAATGAGAGTGGCACAATGACTCAGTGGTAAGCACGACTGCCTCACAGCACCAGGGACCTGCATTTGATTCCACCGTCTGTGTAAAGTTTGCATATTCTCCCTGTGTCTGCATAGGTGCACATTTACCCAGAAAATTTAGTTTCTCCCTTTTTGTTCGTTTTTTTGGTTGTCTTTTGTTGTTTGTTTAAAATATTCCCAATCCTCTGGATCACCACTAATGTTTGCTAAATTGTAATTTTTTCTTTCAATTTTTGCTATCCTTAACTTCTCTAGTAACCTCCTTCCCAGAATCCTTCTTCCTCACTGGGTTATATCTTTGCTGTGAATCATAAACTATTAAACATCTGCCATTTTTCCTCAAACATCTTTCAAGCTAAACACTTCCTTAGTCCACTCCAGTCAGCTCTGCCCTCATTCCTTTGTAATTACCTTTATTTAAGCTGAGCACAATTGTTTCTAACCCAAGATCCTCCCTCTCCAACTGAATGCTAAACTCTGTCATGTTCTGGTTAATGTTCCTGAGGGGAAATTTTACTCCGACATTATTAAACCTGCCTCATTACACATCACAAGATCCAAAATAGTCTGATCCATAACGTATTGTTCTAGGAAACCGTCCCAAATAACACAATGGATTCTTCCTTGGGGATTCCTCTGCCAACATGACTATCTCAATCTAGATGAAGACTAAAGACACCCAGGATTAATGTACTGCCTTTGTAACATGCCCTCATTACCTGCTGATTTATTCTCTGTCCCGCTGTATATTATGGGGCCTAAAGACTACTCCTACTAGTGTCTTCTTTCCCGTTATATTTCTTACCTCCACCCATATGCATTCTACGTCTTCTGATTAAAGATAATTTCTTGCGATTGTGCTTATTCCATTCTGTACCAACAGTGCTAACCGACCCCCACTTTCTTTCCTGCCTCTTTTGAAAAGTCATATGCTGCTGAATATTTAGTTCCCAGCTTTGATCCCCTTACAAAGAACATAGAATAGTACAGCACAGTATAGGCCCTTCGGCTCACGATGTTCTGCCAATCTATTATCCTACTAAGATCAATCTACCCTGCATACCCTACATTTTACTATCCTCCATGTGCCTATCTAAGACTCGCTTAAAAGTCTCTAAAGTATCTGCCTCCACTACCACTGCAGGCAGCGCATTCCACACACCCACCACTCTCTGTGTGAAGAACCCACCTCTGACATCTCCCCTATACCTTCCTCCAATCACCTTAAAATTATGCCCCCTCATAATAGCCATTTCCGCTCTGGGAAAAAGTCTCTGACTATCCACTCTATCTATGCCTCTTTTCATCTTGTATACCTCTATCAAGTCACCTCTCATCCTTCTTCACTCCAATGAAACCTTCCCTCAACCTTTCCTCATAAGACCTGCCCTCCAGTCCAGGCAGCATCCTGGTAAATCTCCTCTGCACCCTCCCTAAAGCTTCCACATCTTTCCTTTAATGAGGTGACCAGAACTGAACACAATATTCCAAGTGTGGTCTAACCAGGGTTTTATAGAGCTGCAGCATAACCTCATGGCTCTTAAACACAATTCCCCTGCCAATGAAAGCCAACACACCATATGCCTTCTTTACAACCCTACCAACTTGGGTGGCAACTTTGAGGGATCTATGGACGTGGATCCCAAGATCCCTCTGTTCCTCCTCACTGCCGAGAATCCTGCCATTAACCCTGTATTCTGCATTCAAATTCCACCTTCCAAAATGAATCACTTCACACTTTTCTGGGTTGAATTCCATCTGCCACTTCTTTGCCCAGCTCTGCATCCTGTCAATGTCCTGTTGCAACCTACAACAGCCCTCCACGCTGTCCACAACTCCACCAACCTTCGTGTCATCGACAAACTTACTAAACCACCCTTCCACTTCCTCATCCCAGTCATTTATAAAGATCACAAACAGCAGAGGTCCCAGAACAGATCCCTGCAGAACACCACTGGTCACCGAGCTCCAGACTGAATACTTTCCATCTACTACCACCCTCTGCCTTCTATTGGACAGCCAATTCTGTATCCAGACAAATTTCCCTGAATCCCATGCCTCCTTACTTTCTGAATGAGCCTACCATGTGGAACCTTATCAAATGCCTTGCTAAAATCCATTTACACCACATCCACTGCTCTACCTTCAACAATGTGTTTTGTCACACCCTCAAAAAATTCAATAAGGCTTGTGAGGCATGACCTGCCCCTCACAAAGCCATGCTGACTACTTCTGATCAAACTGTGCTTTTCCAAATAATCATAAATACTATCTCTCAGAATCCTCTCCAATAATTTGCCCACCACAGAAGTAAGACTGACTGGTCTAGAATTCCCAGGATTATCCCTATTCCCTTTCTTGAACAAGGGAATGACATTTGCCACCCTCCGATCTTCTGGTACTACTCCAGTGTACAGTGAGGACGCAAAGATCAGTGCCAAAGGGGTAGCAATCTCTTCCCTCGCTTCCCGTAGAAACCTTGGGTATATCCCGTCCGGCCCAGGGGACTTATCTATCCTCATGTTTTTCAAAATTTCCAGCACATCCTCCTTCCTAACATCAACCTGTTCGAGCATATCAACCTGTTTCACGCTGTCCTCACAAACATCAAGGTCCCTCTCACTGGTGAATACTGAAGCAAAGTATTCATTAAGGACCTCCCCTACCTCCTCTGATTCCACACACAAGTTCCCTCCACTATCCCTGATTGGCCCTACCCTCACTCTGGCCATCCTCCTGTTCCTCACATAAGTATAGAACGCCCTGGGGTTTTCCTTGATCCTACCCGCCAAGGTTTTCTCATACCCCCTTCTCGCTCTCCTAAGTCCATTCTTCAGTTCCTTCCTGGCTACCTTGTAGACCTCTAGAGCCCTGTCCGATCCTTGGTTCCTCAACCTTAAGTAAGCTTCCTTCTTTATCTGCCAGGAGTCTGCCCATTTGGCCAACTTGTTAATGTCCCTGTGAAGTCACTCAGCATCATCCGCATCATCATATTCACTATTCTCTCTGGCTTAGTATTGTTTGCAAATTCAAAGATTCTTCCTTCAACACCCATTTCAAATTTGTTTATATAATGTAGAAAAAGGGTCCCAACACTGATCC